CTCATTACTTTATAATTACGCCTCATTTCTTGACCACAAAAGAACATTACTTAACTTAATCACCCACCTTCTTCATTAGAATGAGCCATGAATGACCTAGCTATTTCCAAAGAGCAGATTCCCTCAATGGGTAATAATTTGCTCCTATTTAGGACATTAGAACATTAAAAAACACTTCACTTTATCCCATACAATACAAAAAATAAATTCCAACCAAATCAATTCCAGATTCATAAGTTGATTCACTTAACAACTATTTATTAAGCACCTGCAATGTGAAAGGCACTATTTTAGGCCCTTAGAATGAACTGAGAACACAACAAACAGAAATATCTGCCCCGTGAAACTTCATTCTAGTGAAAAATTAAACAATGAGTAAACTGTATATGTTATAAGGTAATACGTGCTATGGAAAATGAAAAAGGTAGGGCTGGAGTAAGGAAAGCTGTTTTAAAATGTGGGAACAAGGGAGGTGTTGCTGAAAACTAACATTTAAGCAAAGACTTGAGGAAGATGAGGGAGTTGGCCCTATTGATATCTGGGGTTAAAGTGTCACAAACAGAGGCAACTGACAGAGCAAATGCACTAAGAAGTGGGAGCATGCCTGGTTAGTTCAAGGATCAACAAGAATAGTGTCGCTGGAGCAGAGTGAGAAGGGGAAGAATGGTAGGAAGTGAGGATGGAGAGGTGGTGGGGTGGGTGAGGCAGATTATTTTAGGGTCTTCTAAGATATTTTAAATACTTTGTGGCCTTTACTCTGACAGGAATTGGGAACTATTGGAGGATCTTGAGCAAAAGTGAGATGTGATCTGACTTACATATAAAAGGATCATTCTGGCTGCTGTAATAATAGACTGTAAGGGAAGATGGAGGAAGCACAGAGGCCAGTTAGGAAGCTATTTCAGTAATCTAGGCAACTGATGCTGGTGGCTCAAACCAGGGTGGCAGCAGTGAAGTGAGAAAGTAGTCAGAGTCTGGATATATTTTGAACACAAACCCCAAAAGAATTTGCTGATAAATTAATTAGATGTGGTACATGCGAGAAGGAGAAGAGTCAAGGATAACACAAAGACTTTTGGCCTGAGCAATGGAAGGACAAAGTTGCCATCACTGAAAGTCAGGACAAAATTATAGAAGCATTAGAAAGAATATAATGATATGATAATATATAATGGTACTTCTATAGTCTTGGATTGAGAAAGGCTTTCTAAACAAGATATGAAACTCAGAAGCTACAAAAAAAGTTGCTAGATTTAATTACAACAAAATGCAAAATTGAATTTATTGGGGTGACATTGATTAATAAAATTATATAGGTTTAAGATATACTATAATATGTCATCTATATATTGTATTGTGTGTTCATTACCCCAAGTCATGTCTCTTTACATCATTATTTAACCCCCCTTTACCCTCTCCTACCTCTCCCTACCCCCATTTCCCTCTGGTAAGGAGATAATTTTTTTAAAGTGATGGAATGAAAGAAAGTATTTATGATGTATATACCAAATTCATATTAAGATTCATAAACTATAAACTTCTACAATATTAAAAGATAACTCAATGGAAAAACGCTCTAAAGCCACAAACAGGCAATTCACAGGTAAGTGAACACCAATTAGGCCAGTATACCTATGAAAAAAGGTTGACTTCATTAGAGAGATACAGATTAAAACAACAATTTTCACCTATGATACTAATAACAATAAAACACTGATAATTTTTATTGTTGACAAGGCCGTGAAGAAACAGGTATGCTTATATACTCTTAATGGAAGTGTAGATTTGTAAATAATTTCTGGTGGACAATTTTTCATAATCTACCAAAAATTAAAATGTTCACACCCTTTGATCCAGCAATTTCATTTCTATGTACCTACTGTACAGAAATAATCATACAAAGTGGGCAGAGATATAGGCAAAAGGATGTTCACTTCACCAATGTTTATAATGGTGAAAAACTGGAAATGACCTACGAATTTATCAATAGGAGAATGGTTAAATAAGTTGTGGTACATTCATACTATGAAATACCATGCAACCTTAAAATGAATAAGGTAATCTATAGATGTAGTTGTACATGGTGATGTAAAAGAGATAATAAAAATGCTTTTCCAAGGTTAAAAAGCAAATTATAGAACAATATGTGTATTATGATTACCTTTATGTGAAAAAAACCATCGTGTGTGTATGTGTCTCTCTGTGTGTGTCTGTGTAAATTTATAAACGTCTGAGAAAAATATGGAACTCCCATCGCTTGTGAGCATGGCATGGCATTACACATATTGTTGAGAGAATGCAGATGTTCTCTTTATTCTCTTTTTACTTCTTTGTTCTTTTTAATTTTTTTTATTTTTCAAGGACAGTTTACATACATTATTCTGTATTAGTTTCAGGTGTACAGCACAGTGGTTAGACAATCATATACTTACAAAGTGTTCCTTCTGATGTTTCCAGTGCCCACCTGGCACCATAGCTATATACATAGCTGTTACTATACTATTTTCCCTATGCTGTACGTTACATCCCCATGACTACTTCTTTGTTCTTTAAAATCTCTTTAGAATAAAAATATTACTTTTGTAATTTTTAAGTTAAAAAATGAGGGACAAGTCAGATACAGCAAATTTCTGAAAGTTCCCAAAGAAGAAATGTGGAGGCAGTAGAACATTTGTTACATTACATTCACACTGTGCCACTGTGCTGTGTGATGGGAGGGACAGCATCTATTGCGTACTATGTGGCCTTGGGAGAGACACAACGTTTCTGAACCTCCATTTTCTCATATAAAGAATGTAGATAATACCTGACCTATTTATTTCATTGTCAGTTGTGAAGATAAAATGGAAAAACAGTTTAAAAATTATAAATCCCTGTAAAAATGTGAGATATTTAATATTTCATATGCCAATTAGTGACCCACTTCTTTTGAGTAATAGTGTAAAACATCAAAATTCAGTCTGAAGTGGAAAATCTAAATTGTCTCTGAGAGTTTATTTTAACAGAATTCTACCTGTCCGAGTTAGGTCCCACATAATACAAGTGTTGGCATTTTACCTAAATATTCTAGAGCAGCGGTTCTCAACTTGTGGGTCGCGACCCCTTTGGCAGTCAAACAACCCTTTCACAGGGGTCGCCTAAGACCATCCTGCATATCAGATATTTACATTACAATTCATAACAGTAGCAAAATTACAGTTATGAAGTAGCAACAAAAATAATTTTATGGTTGGGGCCGCAACATGAGGAACTGTATTTAAAGGGTCAGAAGGTTGAGAACCACTGTTCTAGAGTGTCTGAGACATCCTGGTACAGATGTATTTTGGCAATAGCCTTGAATCATACCCTCTACCCTAGCTATCGCAGGGCCAACTGTAGGATATTAGCTCTATGTACAATGTGAATTTATCCAAGGGGAAGCCCTGAGAGGGGTATTAGGAAATTTTCACATAGGACAGTGTGACTGACCTGTACTAAGAATATGTTTAGATAGTAATAGGAAGGAGAAAATTCTAAGTAATAATGGAAGTTACCTCGAGCCAAGGTTTGGCATCAAATATGAGCATGACCAAGGAAGGCTGTGAGAATAAATCAGGCCTGATGGAAGCAAAATGGTTTTCTGAGAAGCAGTAGGAAATTGACTTGGCTAATGTGAGATGGGGGGTGGGTAAAACATCTCCCATAAATTATAGTTCATAAATCATATCTCCGAAACTTGTATATATTTCATGTGACTGAATACTTTGAGGCAATAAATCTTGACAGCATTTTTCAGGTGGATAATTTGACGTGCCTAAAGTTTAGAAGAGGTGAGGACCAGATTTGGGAAGTCTGGGAATCCAGATTAAGGACCTTGGACTTGATAAAATAGTCCATAATATTGTTATTGAAGGTGTTTTATCAAGGTTGGAACATTAGCATGTAGTTGGTATACAGGATGAAGGAGGAAGAAATCAGGGATACACTTAGGAAGCTGCTATAATAGGCCAGGGATTGAGGATCTGGACTTGGACTATGATGAAAACTGCAGATTAGAGAAAGGAGAGATCTGAGAGCCACTGTAAAGATGGAAACAGCAAGACTTTGAGACCTCAGGGGAAGAGCCAGCGGAGGTGCTTATGTAGCTGAGGGTAACTTAAGCACAAGAGGAACTCTGTTAGAAGCTCATGTTCATATGAAGGCTTCTCACCTGTGCAGCCTGCCATTCCTCTTAGTGAACCCCTTTCCAAGGAAGCCCTGTAGCACCTATTCAGTTACCTAATTCCGCAAACATTCAGACTCATCCAATGGAAGTCTGAAAGCATTTATTCACTCATCCAATTTTGCAAATTTAGGTGAGTGAATAAATGCTGTAAGGTTTCTATCCCGAAAGACAAGCATGGAATTCATTTTACTGCCAGTTTTGATGGAGGGTAATGAGAACTGCCAAGGCTTCAAAAAAGTGTGACATATCCAGAGTTTGTTCACATGGAAATTAATGCTTCATAATCCCTGTGCCCTTCTTGTGAACTCCATCTCTTGAGTAAATCTTAGAGCACCAATTTATGGTCCTAATTTGTAAAGGGATGTTAGTGAATCAATGCTTTTAGACCTTCATGGAAATATTTGAAATTAATTAGCCTTGCCAACTTTTATTTGCATAGGCTCTCTTCCAACTATATCCCCTCCTCAAGTATAACTTTTATTAAGATTGGTTTTAAACAATAAAACTGAGAGAATCGGTGTACAAAGAGCTTGAAGAATTTAAATACGTGGGTTTATTATTAACACAGTAGCAAATATATCAAGGAAACACGCCCCATGAAAAGTGTTTCAAAGAAACAGAAATCTGCTCTGCGAAAGGTCTGTACCCAATAAGTCAGCCCGAAAAAGCTTGTTTGCTCGGTGATGCCTGCAGATAAGACTGCCAAACCTCCTTGTGATTGAATAAGCCAGTTTGAGACTCAGCCTCGCCCAGGCAAGCTACTGGTCCCCAGCTGCGCTCAACGAGCTTCGACACCATGGTGTTCGCATTTTGGAAGGTCTTTCTGATCCTGACCTGCCTTGTAGGTAAGGAAAGAGTCTCCAAACCACGAAAGAAAATTAGGAATGGAGTTTTTCATTTTGAACTGAAATTGTACATTTTTACATAGAATGTTCCCCTCTTGTACTGGAAAGGACATACGATTAGTATGCTGAGTAAAATAAATTTTAGAAATCTTGCTTAGCAAATATGTGCCATGCTGATTTGGGAGGGAAGCCTGTAAAAATTGTTTTATGTAGCTTCTGAATTTAAAACATTTTAAAAGAAAAATCACAGTTTCTTCCTTCTCTCTCTCTCTCTCTCTCTCTCTCTCTCTCTCTCTTTCTTTCTTTTGTCTCTTTATATTATTTTTTTACTTTGGAAGTTGAACAGATGAACTTAGAAGCTCAAGCCTGTGCTAAAGATATTTTTTCTATTTTACTTGAGTTTTATTTCCTTTAAGCTCCCTGTGAGGGACCTGATTTGCTACAGCAGGCAGAGCCTGGCTGGGAGGGCCTGCCATGCTTTACTATCTAACATTTCTTAGGAACTTGTACTTTTCTGAGGCTAAGCCTGTATTTTGGAAAATATGTGAGTGATTTATTGTTGTGCACAATATGGGTATTTTCAGGGACTTCAGCAGAACAAAATAATTTTTAGAGTAAAAAATCCTGATGTTGGTTAGACCCATAAGAGATCAATAAGTCAGAAAAATCCTTGGCTAGTTTTTTTCAAATGCCAGATATATTTTGCATCTGTTCTTATGATAATTTAGGTCCATGGTAGATACAATAATATTCCTTCTCCAAAAATGGTATCTTTAAGCCATCAGTAATATCAGGCAGTCATTAGAATGGGTTTATCAAGTACATTTAATGATATAAGAAAATGCTCAGAAAAAATATTAAGTGAAAAAGTAGGATACAGACACATGCCTAGAATAAATTTCCAGAAGGTTATATACTAAACTGCTGCTCATAGTGATTAACTCTGGGTGATGAAGTCGTAGATTATTTTAATTTTATTCCCCAATTTTTCCATATTTTCTAGGGTTTCTAAAAAAATATACTATTTTTTATAATCAGAATAAATGTATTACTTTTTAAAACTATATGCTTTTTAGTAATAGTTATTTAAATGTCCATTATGAAATGCTTAAACCAACATGTTCTATGGAGTCACCAGAAGGGAATACTGCATTTATCCAGTGATCTAACAAGGACTTGGAGCTGGAAAAAGCCACCTTTCTCAATTTCCATCTTGCTGAAAACAGATGTTACTATTTTTCCTTTCCCTCAGGAATATTCATTTTAAACCTTAACTTTACACAGTGAAAGTCTTTGTTTCCTTTAAAGAGCTTGTAGTCATTAGCTAGTTGGGTCGCCCCTGGGCCTCTGGCACTAGCTCTCTAAAATCACACCTGTAGTCAACATCTATTTTTCTATGTGAGGCCTTCATCTGGCCTATACTAGACAGCAGTTTTAGAACAGTTGTAAGAGTGTGTTGCTTTTTTTTTTACTGTAACTAAAGTATATAAATAAGAAAATAAAAATCACCAGCAATCGTTACCACAAATTTAGGTAGATTTCTTTTTTTTCCCTTTGCAAGTGTATATATTACATTAAAAAATTGGGTTTATAACTTGCATATTGTGTATACTGTGTATCTATACATACACAGCCTAGCTGGCCACAACCAAAATATGGTAGTGACAATCTAGCAGATGGAATGAAAATGTGGTATAATACAGTATATTGTTAATTGCCATGCTTACCTATATATAGAAGTCAGAGAAAGATTTCAATAGTCTATACCTTACATTAGTAGTGTCCACCAGTTGGTCCAGATATGGCTGTGAGGCAAATGGCAATGTTTCCATAGATGTGTAATTTGATGGGCTAGCTGAACTTGTTTCCTAGTCAGGAAAAATGTCATGTTTTTGGTATCAAGCATGGTTCCAGGCACATAGTGGGCACAAAGGAAATATTTATTGAAAGAATGAATTACCTTCCAAAATCCTGCCATTTGTAACATAGATGGACCCTGAAAGCATTATGCTAAATGAAATGTCAGATAAAGACAATACTGTATGATTGAACTTATATGTGGAATCTAAAAAACCTGAATTCATAGAAACAGAGAGTAGATTACCAACTTCCACTTATAAGATGAATATGTTCTGGGGAAATAATGTAAAACATGGTGACTATAGTTAATTCTATATTACATACCTAAAAGTTGCTAAGAGAGTAGATTTTTTTTTCACACCCCAAAAAATCAATTATAATTATGTGATGTGATGGAAGTGTTAATTAACCCTATGGTGATAATCATTTTGCAATATATATGTGTCTCAAATCAACATTTTGTACATGTTAAATTTATACAATGTTATATATCAATGAAGCTGGAAAATGAATTACTTTCCAAAACTCTAAACAATCAGAATGATTTTCTTATATTTTTTTGCAAGGCAAATATCTTTATTCCTTCAGGAGGGTGCACATGCACATGGTCTGGAAGCATGAGCACGCTGAACGGGTGGCCCACTCGGCTTTTTAATTCTTATGCTCGTGACCTGTCCCTTACTCTTGATTGGAGCTCAGGCTCCCAGTCCTTTGTGATTGGCTAATTCAAAGGAAAGGGTTGACCTTTGCCATTTCAAGATGGCAGGCCCCAGGGGAGCTGCAAGTCATGCAAGCCAAAATGGTGGCTGCCAAGTTATACAGTCCAAAATGGAGGCTGCCTAAACGGTTCTTTGACAGAAAAAATTACTTGTTTATTCTCACAATTTTTCCTTCTTCTTTAAAGTCTTTTCTTCAAACTCGTCTAACATTCATTGACTTTCATGCTCTACAGCAGTGGTTCTCAACCTTCCTAATGCCGTGACCCTTTCATACAGGTCCTCATGTTGTGGTGACCCCCAATTTCATTGTTACAAATTGAACATAATTAAAGCATAGTGATTAATCACAAAAACAATATGTAATTATATATGTGTTTTCCGATGGTCTTAGGCAACCCCTGTGAAAGGGTCGTTTGATCCCCAAAGGGGTCACGACCCACAGGTTGAGAACCACTGCTCTACAGTGTCTAGGGAGAAGACTATTTTGCTGTTTAGTCAATGCAATTTCAATTAACCTTTGGATAATACAAGGGATGATGTAACATCCCATCACTAATTCCTAATCAAAGAGGTGAATATGGATACCATCACTCCCTTCCACTTTCCAAACCATTGCTCTAGTGAATCAGAGAAAGGATCCTCAATCCCAGGGTTCTAGCTAACTCATGAGCTAAAGATGTCAATCCCTGTAGGGCCTTTGTGATGGTTCTAGAAATGATTTTCACAACATATTTAAAAACAATTTTCTGTACAACTAAGCAAGGCAGATTTTATTTTAATCAAAATCTTTCTGATGACTCCTTAGGAAGTCTTAGGCTAAATTCTGTTTTAGAAAAATAATTTCAATCAAAGATGTCTTTGGCAAAAAGTTTATGCATATCATGCTAGGTGCTTGTAATATATATTAGTCACCTGTTGGAAATGTATGTTGATGTTTTACCCAGTAATATATTTGAACTTTAGTTTTGTAGTCAAGTCAAAAAAGTGAGTGATCATTTGGTTATCTTCTAATTAAAAAATGATGCCATTATACATGAAGTTGCTGGAAATTAAATCACTTTAAATGTGTCAGGTTAAATATGGCTATTTAGGGGATATTTTTGTTATGGTATAATAGGAGAATAACCCCCCATAAGCAAAGTGCCTGCCACAATGCAGGTGTTAAATAAATAAAAGAACAATCACTACCAAAACACAAGTATTTAAAATCTTTTTAGAATGTTAATTAATTTGGGTATGCACCTTGGATTATTTTCCTTTAATAATAGGCACTGTATTTTTAAAAGCAGTCACACATATTTTAACTATATGCATTTTTTGATATTTTGTGTAATTCAATCAGGTCAGGAGTGAAATTGAAATCCTAAATTTTGTTTAAATCAGATACTAATCTTTTTAATTAAAAAAATTTAATGTTAACATAATTTCAGGTATAACCCTCTTCCCTGCCCTTTGCCCACCTCCACCTCCCTCCCCCTCCCCCTCCCTTGGCCTTCACCAAACTATTGTCCACGGGGTATATATATATATGTTCTTTAGCTAACACCTAGATCTTCTTTATCCAGTCACCCCACCTCACTCTCCTCGGGTACTTATCTTTATTTTGCTATTTATTCACAATTTTGTTAATGTAGAAAATTTTCTGCCTTTTTTCAATTTTTAAACCATCTTTATTCCAAGGTGATATTGTTGGGCTTTTATAGATCTCAAATTATTTATTTAATTATATGTTGTCAATTTTAAAATGTTGAAAATGTTTAAATCAGATTTATAGTTCCCAAATCCTTCATTTTCAAGTGCCTCCATTCTGTTCTGTGTTTTAAATGGCTTCCTACTGCATTGAAATGGCAGGCAGAGATTGTGTCTGTTTTGTTTGTGGCAGAAAAAGGTGCTCAACAGGTATTTGTTGATAGGCACCACGGCCTCTTCCATGGCTTGCCTTATGTGAGAACTGTGCTTACTCTGCCTTCAAACTCTTTCGTTGAGAACATCCTTTAAAGGTTTTTTGTTTTTGTTTTGTTTTTTGTTTGTTTTTGGCCTTACCTGGTCCTAAGTTCCCACCGTTACTCAATTCCATAGCAGATATTGGGACCCAAACTAGAGAACAAAAATGATGGCCAAATAGTATCTTCAAAATCTCTATTTTTAGGGGAAAGTTTCTGGGAACTTTAATGGCCATCAAATTCCCATTCTATCTATTTTATTTTGAATATTTTGAAGACATTTTGAAGTAATCATTTAGGCATAGCCAGAGATGAATATGGCGAACTTCCAAGAGAAATGAGATGGGCTTTTTGAGGGCAGAAGAGTGCCACTTAGCTTTCTCAAATTAAGTTTCCATCAGAAAAAGTAGCTGCTTTCTGCAGACCAATTTTGGTTTTTGAGGAGGCATTATGGGAACCACAAAAACATGGAAAGCAG